ATATATATAAAATAAAAAAAAATTAACTTCTGTCCCAACAGCGTTATCAACTTTTTATAATTTCTAATAGATATGGACAAATTTCCTAAGCAAATTCTTCAAGTATATCCATTCAGCTTTACAACTAGCTACCTGGTACAGACAGCAGTTTCCTTAAAGGAATAAAATTATAAATACCTCAAACAAAAATACCTCTCTCAGAAATGAATCTTGTCTTCCTGAGAGATTACTTTTAAGATAGGAAAAAAAAAAAAATTAGAGGATAAAATTACTACAGCTAAGTAAGAATACCATATTTTCAAAGCTAGATAAACATTTCCAGTAAAAACATTCTAAGTTCTTTTTATAACATTAATTTCATATACCTGAAACTTTACTTCTCTGCATTTATCTTTCACATAGTTTCCTGGGTCTGTATATATTTTTATGGAAAACATGTTCATTTAAAATATTCAATTTTGCCAAAACAAAGCTCCCTTATCATGACATACGTACAGCTTTTTCCTGTATGTGAAATAAAATAGAAGTACAGACAGAAAACTTGTTGGTGTTACTTTCTAAAACCACCACTGCCTGGCTGCTGTAACAGAGTGATGGATCATAATGGTCTAAGAAGGAAGTTTCCAGAACATTCCTCCAGTATCAGCCCTCTTCTGACATTCCTTTGCTCTAAACAATTTAGCCTTAGCAATAATACACTTATACTTGAAAAGATAAGGGCCTATAGGGGATTGACTCTGAGATAAGGCAGATGTCTTCTATTAAAAATCAAATTAATTAGCCTCATTCTCTCACACTGTTTACAAAAATGTCCTCTGATTAAGAAAAACTGCCTGCTTGAAACCTAACTGCTCTTTGATGGTCAAACACAATGAAATCTAAAAAGGATTATTTGGTACCTGGAAATTGGAGAAGCTAAGAAAAGTATCACTCAATGATTTAATTATTTGTGTATTTTGTTAAAAGGCCCCTGGTGATTCTGAAATGACCCTCATTCTCATGTAGAATCTATCCTACATGAATACTATTTCTACGCTATTGCAGAGAAAACCCATGTCATATTATCTGTCAGTTTGTATAAATGCATTAACATGCCATTTCTTTGACAAAGTAAGGGTCAATTAGCTTGAATATTTCTCACTTTTTCCTTTCAAAGGAAAAATAAAGCCAAATTAAAGGAATGTATCATACTGTCATGAAGTAAGGATGGCGAGATTACATCTCACATACTTTGGACATGTTATCAGGAGAAGGACATCACGCTTGGTAAAGCAGAGGGCCAGCGAAAAAGAGGAAGACCCTCAACAAGACGGACTGACACACTGGCTCAACACTGGGCTCAAGCATAACAATAATTGTTGAGGATGGCGCAGGACCAGCTAGTGTTGTTCTGTTGTACAAAGGGTTGCTATGAGCTGGAACCGACTCAACAGCACCTAACAACATCATACTGTCAACATGTTCACGTGTAACTACAATTTCTAAAAATAATGTAGCACTATGCTGAAATATCTAGGCAGTAGACATCTCTAGGGTTCCTACCCAGCTTACAACACCACTCCTTACTCTGAAACCAGCCCCATAAATCCCTAACTACCATGTATTTGCTGCATGATCCTGCTTCCCTGGCCAAAGCTGATGGTAAGAAGGTGCAACTCATTTATCATAGCAAACCAAACAGAATCTCTCTCCTAGGAACTGGACATAGAGGTAACATAGAGCTAGGCATTAAGCTGGCTGATTAGACTGAGATTAAAACTGTGGGGTGAATAGAGAAACAAGAGCTAGCTGACAAGAGAGAATAAAATAGACACACAAAGCAAACAAGACAAAAGATAGAAGAGTTCCCACTTCTAGTCATGCCTCGAGGCCCAGCTACATTCTGACTCCTTGGTTTCTCTGAAACCCATTTATTTTGGTACAATTCTCTTTAATTGCTCAACGCTACATACAGTTAAGTTTCTAGTACTTAAAACCAAAAGTCTTAGCCAATGTAACCCACCTTCACCTTCTTCATCCTCTTCACCTTCTTCCTCTTCATCCTCCTCTTCCTCCTCAGGGATACTGTCTACTGTATGACGATCGTCCTCATCCTCATCTTCCTCCTCCTCTACATCCACATCATCTTCATCATCATCTCCTTCTTCCTGCTGTTCCTCTTCTACTTCTCCTTCATCAGAATACTGACCTTCCTGGGGAACAGAATTCCGATCAGGAGAAATGGGCTCAAAGTAATCTTCTCTATGAGGAGCATCCTCTTCCTTGTCACCTGACACTGAAAAATTGAGATTTAAGGCACAAATTATTTTAATGGTTTTAATAAAACATGGCAGCCAAGATTGGACAGTGCAACTACTTAATGACATACTGAACAATTTAGCTCAAAAATCCCCTTAAGGACCATGGTCTCAGGGAACATCTAGCTCAATTGGCATGATACAGCTTATAAAGACAATGCTCTACATTCTACCTTGGTGAGTAGTGTTTGGGGTCTTAAAAGCCTGTGAGCGGCCATCTAAGATACTCCAC